TAAGATAGCTTCCCTACGGATTATCCGCACGGAATTTCGCAACGAGTTTTTATTTTCCGTCGGGGAAACTTTCGTTTGCCATAAGAGTCAGCCTAAAACCCGTGTTCATCGAACTGCCGTAGACATAAAAACACATCTGCGCGATGGCCAGCGAAACTGCAGTCACGATAGTTCGTAATCTGCATGCACACGCCGCAAGGTGCAGACTGGCGCCAAGAACAGATGGGGGAAACACACACAGACACAAACTAGTTGGTAAGCACATGAACTCACACTCCATAGTTGTGCCTACAGTCATGGCCAGGTGGAGGCTCCGTACTCACGGCCAGGTGGGGACTCCGTGGAATGACTTCAAACAGGCAGCAGCACGCCAAACGCGGCAGAATTACAAACGGTGACGCATTGTACTGGAAGCTGTACGGGAGCGCTGAGAGAGGGAAAGGGAAGGAGAGGAGGGCACGAGGAGAGAAAGCTTGCACGAGTGGATTAAGGAGCGAGACTGGTGTGGAAAAATGGTGGTCAGAAGGTGAGAATCATGCTGGAAGCGTCTTTCCACACAGCGCCAAAAATAAAGTACCTGTGTCTTTCTATTGTTATTTGTTGCGCCCGCGCATCATTTGACCAGCGCCGCATCTTCTGTTGTTCGACAATTCAGTCTTTCAAAATGGGGGGGAGAGGGAGGATCAAACATCTATGAGCGTTGAGTAAGTTTGTCGTGCTTGCATAACGAACCCAGGTCCTCTTCGTTCAACCTTTCATGTTTTAATTTCGGCACGAAAGCTAGGATGGAATCGGTTAGTTTTTAGCCCTTGACGATTGATGTTCATATCTGCGTCACCTCTGCAATTGTCGGATGGCACACGAAATAACAATACTACTTATATTTGTCTGTCCGACTATTTGTCGCACGATAGGAGCACCGATCTTTGCTCTCGTTCTTCAAACTAACTTTCAATGTATCGGCGAGGGAGAGGAAGAGAGCAAAATTCGAATAGCCATAATGTGGCGGACGGTGTGAAAAGCGCTCAAGGAGCACCAATCCCTCTCTCTCCCATTAAACCAACAAGAAAATTGTAGATCGACGAAAGAAAGACAGCAAAGTTCGAACAGCCATGATGTGTCCAACGCTTGGTCGCACGCACCGAACCTCCTGTCGTTCTTCCAACATCATTTTTGAACACCGTAGAGAGGGAGAGAGCAAAATTCGAATGCTGTGATGAGCGCGACAATTTGGCGCGTACGCAAGAAGCACCGATCCCCCTCTCGTTTTCCAAACAAGCTTTTCACACATCGGCGAAAGAGAGAGAGCAAAGTTCGAACGGCCACGTTGTGTCCGACGCTTGGTCGGGCGCCCAAGGAGCGCCAATGTTCTGTTCGTTCCACAAACCAGCAATTTTCAAGTCTGCGAGAGGCAGAAACCAAAGTTCAAATAGCCATGATGTTTCAAACTGTGCGAGAGAACCGGTCGTGCTCTCGTTTCATAGACTTGAATTTATCAAATCGGGGACAGGGAGAGAGCAGAGTCCGAGCAGCCATGATGTGCTAGACGCTTGGTCGCGCGCGCAAGGAAGCACCGACCCTCTGTTCTGCAACAGCTTCTAATACGATGATCGAAAAAGCCATGATGTGTCCGACGATGTGCTGCGCACGCGAGGAACACCGATCGCGCTCTGGTTCCACAAACCAGCATTTCTTCAATCGGGGAGAGGGAGAGAGCAAAGTTCAAATAGCCATGATGTGTCCGACATGTGTCGCGTGCGCAAGGAGCACCTATCCTCCGTTCGTTCTTCGAACCGCCGTTGTTTCCATCGGCGAGAGGGAGAGAGCGAAGTGCGAATAGATAGGAGCAAGCCTTGCCGACTTTGCCCACATTTTGTTGAAGAGTACCGCAAATGACGGAAGATGCCACATTCCGTGCCGATTTTGACTGTGCGCTTGCTCGATGATGCAGCCGATTTGTACGCCGGTGGATGGCTCCAAAGGAAGCCGTGTGCACCACCTTCTCAACCATGCCACGTGAAAAAGATGCAAATGTTTTCATGCTTGCCCGCTCGGCACCATCTACCACTACGCCAGCGTGCGGCAAAAACCCCAAAGCAAGAAGCAGATCAAGTCTGAGCTACCTCACGGATCGCCTTCTCTATGCTACCACGGTCACGTGCGTAGTACACGCCCCCCGCAACCGCGCCATACTGAGCGGTGTACAGACTCTGCATCCTGTTTCCCACCTGCCCTGCCTGGCTACCTAGCATAACAATGCTCAATAGAAATTTCATCCCCACGCACTGACGCTTGACACTGAGGGGTAGCAACGCCGTGCCCCGGATCTCAGCAGTAGCGACAGCTAGCGTGTTTTCGGGCTAATGTTCGCGGAACGAAGAGCTGTGTGCTTCACAGATGCCTTGGTCTCGATCTCCTCCACGCGTTGATCGGGCTCCTGTTGTTGTGCTCGCGGCTTCTGATGTTGTTCCGGTTGCGACTGCGTGTGCCTTTGCTTGCGCTTTTGTTAGCACCAGAAGCTCGCACTCTCCCGAGCTCGAGAGTACGTTTGATAAAACCGGCACTGTTGTCACTTAGACTCGGTGTAGCGGACGTTTGGAGCACTGATAAGGTCCCGATGCGTCCGCCCCCCCCCCCACCCAATCCGTTTCGGCTATCGGGACAGCAGGCCGCTGGAGTACCTCCGACAAAGCCATGGGATCGAACCCCTTCCTTTTCCCTAAGAATCCAAACACCCCACAAACACTGTATCGATGTCCCACAGAGCATGCTCGGTAAACAGCGAAACACCCTAGAAAAAAGCGGAGCACTCCGCCGTGCGAAACTCTTCTCTGGGTTCCACCCTGGTATTAGCTCCCGCGTTTTTTCCCGGCAAGTACCCGAGGAAAGCTCCATCGTGCTTGTTGTTGTACCTGTCGAAAAATCATGGGTGGGGAAATTCTTAGTTTTCTACTTTCAAATTGTGTATTAAATTGTCTACAAAAAACGAAGAATCATACAACTCCACGCACCTAGACATGGCTGCCAAGAGCACCCGAGGCTTCGCCGCCCTCCGCTTCAGAAGCGGGAGCATGCGAGNCTTCTCTGGGTTCCACCCTGGTATTAGCTCCCGCGTTTTTTCCCGGCAAGTACCCGAGGAAAGCTCCATCGTGCTTGTTGTTGTACCTGTCGAAAAATCATGGGTGGGGAAATTCTTAGTTTTCTACTTTCAAATTGTGTATTAAATTGTCTACAAAAAACGAAGAATCATACAACTCCACGCACCTAGACATGGCTGCCAAGAGCACCCGAGGCTTCGCCGCCCTCCGCTTCAGAAGCGGGAGCATGCGAGCGATCGATGTTGATTTCTTCCGGGACGCACGCTCTACAGAACGACCGGTGTCGATTGGCCACGTCCAGGACACCGCGTGAACTGCCTCCTCCTGTCGCAGCAGGCGAATGACACCCTTCAGCCCCCGCACCATCTCGCGGTGGACTCTCATCGGACTGAATCTGCGAAAATAGGATGTGGCTAGTTCCAGGGGCGTGCCGATGAAATCTTCGTCTTCTTCCCCCTCATCACTGTCGCACGGAAACCGAACGCCCGATGTCGCGTCCGCCCCGGCTTCGAGTAGCAAGCGCGCGAATCTGGGAGCATGAAAGCTTCCCAGATTGAATGTGCTCACCAGCGGTGTTTCTTGGAACACAAAATCGTCGTAGGTTTCCGGGAGAGTACCGTGGGCCATGTTGACGTAAGCACGCGTACTTACATTGATGTTCCCACCCTGCCTCCGCAGCAGAAGGTAGACGCACGCCTCGCTACATCCCTCAATGGCGGCACACAGGGCAACGCCCTCCGTATCAACCACACCGGCATCGCACAGGAAGGTGACGATGTCCACGTGTTTGCGAGAAGCGGCCGTTGCGAGAGCCAGTACGCCGCCGTCGTTTGTACAGCGGTCGGTTCCGTACCAATGCACGAGCTCGCTGACCACTTTCAGGTGTCCATTGTAAACCGCCGTCCCTAGCGGCAGACTTCCGTACGCTGACAAGAGCGGATTCGCGTTCGCCCGAAGGAGAACTCTGACGGCACCCAATTTCCCTTTTTGCGTAGCAACGTATAGGGGTGTGGCTCCGTCTTCGAGCCTGCTGTCCACCTTCGCGCCTGCGTCCATCAGCACCACCATTCCTTGGCAAAACCCTTTCGCCACGGCCACGTGGAGTGGTGTATCTGTGCCACCGGGCCTCGCTTCAAGGTCCGCTCCCGCCTCGATCAGGGATATGCTGACGGCCAGATGCCTGTGATAAACCGAATGGTGCAGAGCAGTATAACCGTCGCTGTCCGCCACCGAGACGCTGGCACCCTGCCGCAGAAGGTCTTTGACAACGCGCGAGGAACCAATGACGGAGGCCACCATCAGCGGTGTGTGGTTCGTATCACCACAGCGTCGGTCGATGTCGGTCGTAGCAACCGCACGCTCGACGGAACCGCTGGCTTTGCTCAGAGTTGATGGCATGTTGAGGATAGTGCCTTTTGTCTCTTTGTTTAGTCTCTAAAGTTTTCTGTGAACAATCGCAGCACATTTATATTTCCCTCCTCTTGCTTTAGCTGAAGAAATAGTCTTTTCGGCAAAAGTCTCGGAGCATTATTTAGAACGTCTGCTTGGCGCCCGGCCGCCGTAGCCGTAGCCTTAGCTGATTTGGTCCTTTTCGAAGCGACAGCCACAGCAGATGCCTTTTTTACGGGTTGATCTGACTCGTTTCTCGTCGGCTGCGGCCGCGGCAACGTTCTTCTTCTATACCCGTCTGCGCTCGGCAGCTGCACACTCCTTCTCCTTTTGTACCTTTTCCGTGGATTCAACAGCTTTGCTAGCCTTCCGCACGGCTTTTTCCCTTGGTGGCGATGTCCGCGGATCCACTCTTTGCCCCCATTGCCTCCAGCGTTTAAGGGATGTTTTCCTTAAAAACATGTCAACATCGTTGCTCATTTTTTTCTAGTTTTGGCCGGCTTTGCACACGTGCCTGTAAAATATGCGCAGATATGTTTCTTGTACTCATCTTTCATGTGTTTCGTAGTCTAGTTGTTGCCCGCGATCGGGACGAGCGTTTCACGACGTTCGTTTTTAACTTGACGTAGTGCAGAGAAGCTGGCGTTTGTGGGTGCGAAGAAAAATAACCCAGGAGTTGGGAGCAAGACATTTCTCTTGTCTATTGTCTGGTAGCATTTGGCCGTACCCCTGCAGGTCATTTCCTTGATTGCGGTTGTTACACCATGGCAACAAAAACGTCGCGTGAGTTCAACCTCGAACCCGAACCGCAATGATGTTTTTTCCTGAACCCGCCCCATGTTTTGCGCTCGCGCCTCGTGTCACAGCAGGGCGCGTCGCCCCGAGGGCGCAGAAGCAGTACCACCCTTCAGCGATAGCACCCGTAGCAAGCTTTCCAGAGCAGGGCTAAGCAGCAGCGGCAGAAGCAACACCCTGGGGTACCCAGCATGTAAAAAAATCTGAACCACCCCCCCCACGTAACTGAACAGGCGCGTGAGATCGTCAGAGCAGCGATAGCAGCAGCTGGAGCAGGAGGAGCCGACGGGAGCGCCAGCAGCTGGAGCAGGAGCACGAGGTTCGTGCATGCGGCGTGTCTGTTTTTGCGATTGCGCGTTTGCTTTTGGGGCGGTTGTGTGGCGTGGCGGAGAAGGCACTAGCTGTCACCGGAAGAGGCAAAGTTGAGAGACACCTGCACACCCTGGGGAGTAGGCGGCTTCCATGCGCACATCTGTGTATTTTTTGGGCATATCTGAGTCGCTTCATTTTTCGTGTGTGTGACCCGAACAACATTCTCCAAAAATCTCCTCCCCCCCCCATCTATCCGATGAATCCCCAAGGTTCGCGCCGTCGTTTGAAGATTTAAACACAAGACTAGCACCCTCACGTGGGTCACATTGAATGTTTTTCTCGTGTCAACGTTTGTTTTTGCGGCGGGCGTCGCTAGTTTCGCGTTCAAACAGTTTCAAGGGGCCGACAAAGCGGGTGTCAAGATCCCCATCGTCGACTTTGCTTTCGGCACGTTGTGTTTCTTCCTGCTCGGGACTGTCCCTATTATTGTTTGCCGAAGGTGCAACTCCTCTCAGAATGCGAATCTCTTCTCTCAGTTGTTCTACCTCGGCCCTCAAGCTGTTTGTAGTCAAAAGGCGTTCGTCTACAGTAACCCTCAACAAACTTATAGTCTGTTCCAGGTCGGTCTTGTCTAGGCCATCGATAGTACGGTATTACCCCTGCATTCATTCTCCGCGCACCCGTGTCAAATCGAGGGAATAATGCAGTTCAGACCGCGTAGTGGCCGTTTCAGACTCGCACAATTCGAGGGACTGCCCGCATGCCAGCAACTGAGCTCCCAATCGGTCAACTTTTACCTTCATGCTCGAGATTCGGACATCATCTGACCCACACACGTATTCGCTTACTGATCCATTCCATGCAAATTGAGCGACATCGGCTCCGTATGATCCAAGCAAGTTCAACGTGGTTGCGTGATTCAAATGCTGCTGCACCGGAGCAGTTGCCGTTTCCGGATTCACACCCTCTTCTAAAATCAATTCGAGATCCGCCAACAACTTGCACAACTTTTTTCCGGGCTTGTACGTTTGCGTTTTTTCTCTCTTGACCCCAAATGTCGAGGTTAACGTAACTACAAGAGAGGGGCGCCCATCCGCTACCTCTTGCCGCGCCGATGACGACGACGACGAGAGCGGAGACGGCGCGATCGCGGTCAAGGTCAAGACTGATGTTAAGACGGAGGCCAAGATGGAGGAGCTACGGGAGCCTCCGGAGTCGCTGAAGATGGAGACGAAGGAGACAGCAGGGGATGTAGCAGGGCGTAGTTCGCCGAGTGGATTGTTTGGACTTTGTGGCTAGCGGATCTGGCGTGCTCGATTCTGTGACAATTAGAAAAATAATGTGTAAATGTTAGAGTTTGCGCTGTTGGTGGGGGTTTATTATTGTTTCTCTTGCCACGGACGCACTTCTTCTCAGATAATGCGACTATGTTAGTAATGACTTAGGGCTTCACCTCAAAGAACAAATTGGACGGACTCGCCTTAGAGTCTGGACAAAGCTATTTCTAAAAAGGTTGGTGTATGTACGGAGTTATTGTCATGTCATGTGTAAAAGACATGGTTTTTGAGGAGCAGATTTCGAGAAGAGCATATTTGAGAGTAGTGTGCATGTCCATATGGTTATTCGTCGTCGTGTGTCAAGTGTGATTCTACAAATTGTCAAAGGCAAATGATATGATGAAATAACATCTTTTAGAAACGACGCCCTAGTCGTGTGTCGGGTTGCGATCATCACAAGACCAACAGCCACAGCCGTTCCTGTAGCTGAAATAACTTTTTAATTTGAGCCTACTCCGCACCTCTACAATGTTTTTGACTATCGTGTATCTTTACAAGGGCGATGGTGGTTTACAATGTTGCACCATTCGATAGGTCTTGCTGAGAGCTCTCTGTTGACGTATCGGTTGTATTCGTCACTCTTCGACGAGCGAAGAAAACCCCGGGGTGACGCGGAGAAAGGACATATTATTGGCCCAGCGGGTATGGTATCTCAGGTGATGCACGAATGTCCGTTTTTCGTGAATATGGCAACTGTTCTTGACGGCGCAGATGGGAGGGTTCCGTATAGTGTGCATACACAGTTGTTTCCATGACGACCTTGGGACGTCACCTCAACGATAGATCGGGCTGTTCTCAAACAGATCATTGGAGCCATGACATCAACCAGATTCAGAGGGAGGATCGAACTAAAGGACGACTTGTACAGATTGGCCGGACTCAGCTTAGTCCCCACGAAGCTATGCAGGGCTCATGATCTCATTTTAATAATAGACTCTTGTTTGCCACGTGGAGACGGAGGGAGCACAAGGAGCCGGTCGGGACGGGGGCGGCAATTTTTTGATGTAATGGGACAGAGGTTGGGAATTTAATTATCGGGAGCGTAGCCCCCGAAATTTTTGCGGGGTCCCTTTTTGTTTCGACCGCATCCTCCATATCTTCGCGAGTTCACGTCCAATCTCGACACTCTTTTTTGCGTACGATGCACCATAATGTGGTCTCTACGATGTAAGGTACATATAACCTTCACTCACGATAAAGCTGATGAATTTTATGCTGCTGTCGATAGGGGCCACCAGCGATCACGTCGGAGTTTTTGTTGCAAGACGACCCAAATTTCAAGACGGGATACTACTGCTGTGCGAAGGCATCCACACAACAATGTATACCTGCGCTCACTCTTACCTCTGAGTGTTCGGAGCATGACTCGACTGCACCAAGGAATTATTTCGAGTTGATGAATTGTGTGCTGCTGTCGACGGCAGTTGCGAAGAAAATGGTGTTGGATCTTACTCTGGACCGGCAACGTGAAACTACGATCATCAGCCTCTTTTGCGCCAGCACTTGTTGCTTATGTAGTCCCACCACGTGTGTGTGTGTGAATGGAGCGACTCAACTCCAACAATAAACCAACAGGCTTGAAAACAGCCCATTGTTCGCCTCCAGACTCTGAGGTAGGTGCAAAAAACAAAACTACTACATACACGGGCCCGTTCCCTCTGTGTTCTCTCAGTTGTTCGTGCAACCCCGAATAACGTGTGTGTGTTGCCCACATCACACCAAGAAGCAAAAAATATCGAGAGCGCAGGTTGAACTCGACAGACGGCGTGAGAAACAAAACTCAAGCAAAGCTGTTGAACCCCCCAAATACTCTCTGAGCTGGAGAGTCCGTTGCGCGTCCAAAACTATTGAAAGTTTGCCGTGTCTTGCATAACACTTTGCCGCTCGGTCGAGTTTGGCCTGCAGCATAGGCACGGCAATGGTGAGGGTTTCCTCGAGAGGTCGGGCAGACCTGGAATTTGCTACGGCTTGAAGGCGGCCGCTACATATATAGCGCAGTATGCACCCAACGTCCAGTCGCAAAGTGCTGCAAGCTGAAACCGGTACCACCATCCCCGGCTGACGCCATAAACCATCTGCCGCCCACAAAATGCTACGTGCATAAACTAGCCGCAGCTTCTCCGTGATCCCGGTCCCACCCCCCGCACCGCCGCCAAAACCGCTACAATACGCACGCCACGCGCGCCCCTCCAGAGTTTGCTACCTGCACGATTTCATCTCCCGCCGTTCTCGGTGACACGGCCGTGTCACCGCCCGCTTGCCCATCATATCCCCAGCAGCATTCCAGCCTGGAACAGTCCCCACCCCTTCGCCCCTTCGCCAATTCTCGCCGCTGTGTTCTAAGTATCATAGAGCCATCGGTTTTGCCGCTAGTGATACACTCCTGTGATTCCCGCCCGGCAGCTCACGCTAAAGCCCCATGCGTGCACTTGACCACATCGACCGTCGTGCGTTGCCCCCTCCGTTCCACCTGGGCGGGCGCCCTGCACCCGAGGTTGGCACCAAAAACACATTCGGGATACAGAAAAACAAGTTCAACATGGCGTGCGTGAAAATACAGGATGCCAATGCCACTTAAGAATCCTATGTACGCCGTGGGAGTGGTTCTTATCGCACACCACTCCTCGTTCGCCGTGGATGCATCTCGCGCCAAGAAGATACAACCCTTTCGTGGCACACTGCACGAGCAACTTTTTCGAGGAGGAATCGGCGAAACAGCGACTGACGGATGATCGAGTGGGGGCATTGCAGAGGAGGTCGTTTGTGTTGAAATGACTGAGCCCCTTTCTGGTCCACACCGAACAACCATCGCACCAATCGACGGGGGGGCGGGGGCGGGGAGGGGGTGAGGCGGGGTGAGGGGTATTGGGGCACATGGACAGTAGTGCAAGGCCGGCTCCATTCTGTTGTGTGCTCGATACAGTATGTGAAGGCGTGTTTCCGAGTCTGTAACCGTCAGGTGATCACAGCTCGGGTGCCTGTGTGCGGGGACCACGTTACTCTGTGTTTGTCCAACCCAAGCCTCAACCACACAATATAGAGGTAGAGGTCGCCCGCAGGTGAGAAAATATTGAGCAAGAAAAACGACGCTCAGATTTAGGCGAAAAATAAGAAAAATGGGCTAAGAAACATACATTAATCGTGGATCCTACACGAAAGCCAATACACAGCCCTTAACGTTCGACACAGTGGCAACGAAATAAGGGAGTGAGTCTCAGCCTACATGTTCCGTTTCTTACTTGACTTGCGGGCGCCGTCTGTATACGTACGCCAACCTCGCACAACAGCGGGTGCGCTGCTATTAGAAGCGAACCTGGCAGTTCCGAAAGTACATACTCCTTAGTTGAAGAATGTCAACGAAAAAGCGTATGCCAATGGGCTGCAAATAACAAAACAAAAAGTATCATCACCTGCGCAACCGTGAGGTCTTCCCGTGGATGGCAGCCGTTGTTGTTCTGCTGCCATCACAAGAGAGCGCCATATAGCGTCCACCATCAACACTCCGGCGCTGGTTCTGCTCACCCTCCTCTGCGCTCGGAAGATTTCAAGGGAGGCCAAGCGACAACCTGTCCGTTGTGTGAACGCGGAGAACATGTTGCTGGGCTACTTAGACGAGGAGGTTTTCGGTGGGTAGTAGAGCGGCCAGACGGCCGTGGTTGGGGAGAAGCAAACAGATTCGTTTCCGCGCCGAGGATGGCATGCGACAGCCGGCCAGGAGTCATCCCCCGTCCATGGGGCAGAACCGCTTACCACAGCTTGATGGCAGGGCCTCTAATAACTGTACCTGGTGGGTAGGTTTATGGCGTTGCAAGGAAGAGACTACTTGGGAAATTTTACTACTTTGTTGACTACTTCGAAGTACTATTTACAGCTGGATCATATTATTTAGGACCAAAAAAAACAAAGGAGCAGATTTAGTTTCGAGAGGTGCCCCACTGCTGTAGAATCGTTCCCCCTCGGACGTGCATGGCGAAAGACTCAGGGTTCTACTGCCTAGTCTACATATCTCACCCATATCCCACAGCGCGCTGCCGCTGCTGGTGTTGGCGTCGTGTGACGCCCAACTGCTCCTGCTCTTCCTCCCAAGCCAGCAGCAGCACCTTTCTAGGCTGCACATCCCGGCCTCGAAACCGCCCCTCCGCTCTGCTGTCGCAGTGGAACTTGCCTCACCACGCTCCCTCGTGAAGTCTTACCCCCGTCTGGGCGCATCTATCTGCTGGCAGCTGTGTGATCGCCGAGTAGGCTACGGCTGTCGGATGTCCTGTTGGTGCTTGCATGTTTTTTCGGCACCGACCTTCTTTGTTGTAGGCCTCTTGGCTTGGCCACCGGCGTTCGGTGATGCAGAGGACATGTCTCAAGTGTGCAGGCAGCAGGCTGCGAGCCGGAGGGTGTGTGTGCGAGGGTCTAGGTGCCGATGCAACGTAGGTCGGTTTTGCGGCGGGATTGCCCACAAAATGGGCGTCCCGCTGCCCAACTAGGCTTTTGTACCGATGCAACGTTGATGCAACGTTAAATGAGGCAATCTGATTGGCAGATGCAACGTTAAATCTGTCCCACCGCCTTTTGACTTTGCCACAGGGGCAGCCAAGGGGGCTCGTACAGGGCAATCAAGGAGGCACAGCCCCCCGCACCCACATATAGGATCAGTATCCCCCTCTAGTTTAGGCAGGGCTGTGAGTCCTTGATTGCCCTGTACGAGACTCCTTGCCTGAGCGCCCTGCAAGCCACGAGAGCGCGCATTCACCGCGGTGTAACCATCCACAGAGAGAGGCGGTGCCAACCGAAAAGGAAAACAGCATCCAGCTTCGACCGCGCTTCTGCAAACTGCAAAGGTGAGAGCATGTGGGGGAGACAGACCCTCGCACACGGTGCGCGCGGCAGACAGGTGGAGAGATTACGAGTTTGCGAGATGGGACGCACGCGGCAACCTCGGTGAATTTCGGCTTGTGGCCTGACAACTTGACTTGCTTACCCATGCATTTTGGTGCTCTCTGTCGCACCTTTTTTCCATTTTCCGGGGTCGCGTTCTGCATTCGTTTGCGCTTTTTTTCCGTGATGGGGCGGTAGAATATGCCCATGTAGTGCGTGAGGGTGCAACCAGGCCGTAGCGCTTTGTGGCATCGGTGCGCGCCTCAACAACGTGGAGAGATTACGAGTTTGTGAAATGGAATGCACGCGACAACCCCGGTGAAGTTCGGCGCGAGGCCTGACAACTTGACTTGTTTGCCCATGCGTTTTGGTGCGCTGTGTTGCACCTTTCTTTATTTTCGGGGTCGCGTTCTGCATTTTTTCCTGTTTTTGTGATCGCCTTTTTTTTGGGGGCTGTAGAAGATGCCCTTTTGTGGTGGGTGAGGGGTGATCCCAAGCCGCAGCGCTGTGGCATCTTTGCGCGCCGCAGAAAGGTGTAGAGATTACGAGTTTGCGAGCTGGGACGCATGCGGCAACCCCGGTGAAGTTCGGCGCGTGGCCTGACAACTTGACTTGTTTGCCCATGCATTTTGATGCTCGTGTAGTTGCCGGGGTGTTCTGCACTCTCTTTCCCCCGCCCCCTTTGATATTTAATGTCATGGTGGTAAGCCACATTGGCTTTTTTTTCGGGAGAAACATACCGTGATCGGTGTGTAGATGCCCTCTTTTGGAGAGGGAGGCACGCGCCGAGCGCTGACGAACGATGTACAAAACACATATAGATTATTCGCGGCGTAAGTCAAACGATGGTTCTTCGATGCAATCATCCTAACGTACAGGTCGTATAAAACACCACTCAACCGCGAAAGGCGGCCGACAGCAAGCGATTTCACCCTGACTGCCATGTCGACACCGTTTTTCGCATTTGTCCCGCAAACTTCCGTCCAACATCTTCCCTCTGCACCCCCCAGGCCCGTTCTACAATGGCGCAGACGGACCGCGAGGCACTGGTTGCCCTGTATAACGCGACCGGTGGGCGCACCTGGAAGCAAGATGGAAACTGGAACACGGATGCCGACCTCTCGCAATGGCACGGAATCAAAACCAACGACCAGGGCCGTGTTGTGGCGCTAAGTCTGAACTCCAACTACCTCCAAGGTATTCTAAGGTTCAGTCCATGAAGGCGTGCTGCTGTCTTGCGATGTGCTTAACCTTTGTCAAAAATTCGTTGACTGAGAGTGGCCCTTTCTTAAAATTGCACGTTTTACAGCAAGCTACAAGGTTTTCATTTTCGTCATTCCCGCGTTCTGCACGCGGTCTACGCCTGAATACCCCTTGTATGTAAATTGGCCACAGTACCGGCACGCTGTGCGTACGATGCTGCTGTACTCGTCAAAGCTAATGGACACCTCAATATTTCTCCTACATGCCTGCTCCTTGAACACGCGCCACCTGTAGACCACATCGATTTTCCTGGCTTGTAAGTGCTTGTGGTACACAGAGGACCTTCGGTATCACTTGTTTTGCAAGGCTCGGATGCGTCTCTTGTCGTACTCTGGAGCGATTTCGACCAAGAGGCCGTTCCGCACCGGCCCCGTCGGCTTGGTGGTTGGTTTCCTTGCTGACATCCATCCACTGTTTCTTTTGTCAGCCATGTGTGCAAAAGAGTCGCGAACAGTGTGGTGTAATCAGCCGTGCACCGTCTTGCGGGAACGAAATCTTCAGATGTCGGCAGTTTTCGATTCTGAAAGACGTGTCGCCTGGCGAGACACAGAAACATGTTTCTATGGAAACCGAAAACTGTTTTTCACCTTCCAGGCTGTTGTTATCAACGCCAAGAATAATGGTTGGTGTCGGAATTCCACAGAAAATCTGGATTGTGTCCCGCCAATGCAGTTGGCGTCCTCTTGAAACTAGAGTAGCTGGAAATTTTTTGTTAATTTTTTGTCGTTCTTCGTGCAAATATTAAATTGTCCTCCATGACTCACCGCTTAGCGAGTTGGCAGCAAGGTTGAGGCTCTGCAGCGCTGCGACGTTCCCGAGCTCCCGCGGGATGGGGCCTGCGAGCAGGAGGGCGATACAAATCGAGCGCGACAAAAAAAAAAAAAAAAGTTTACCCGCAACTCTAATTCCAAGAGGACGCCAACTAGCGCGCTTGTTTTGTATCACCCTCCTGCTTACAGGCCCCATCCCGCCGGAGCTCGGGAACCTCGCAGCGCTGCAGCACCTCAACCTTGGTGGTAACACTCTATGCGGTGAGTGATGGACGACAATTTGATATCTACACAAAGCTCCGGGATGAAGCTCGCCGATGCCGTGGACGCCAACTAGTTGGCGTCCTCTTGGAAATAGAGAGGCGGGCTAGTCTTTTTTATTTTTTTATTTTTCCCGATATTCCCGTAGAACTCTCACCGGTTAGCTTGTTATTCCAGAGGTTGAGGCGCTGCAGTGCGGCGAGCTTTCCAAGCTCCAGCGGAATGGAACCTGCAATCGGAAGCGAGAATAGCGGGAAGCAAATGTAAATGCCCCGGCATTCGAGCACACCTTTTGTACTCGTGAGTGGACGCCAACGCGTGCGCGGGATTCATGCTTCAAACGTGATGATGAACAAACTCACCGACTAGCTCGTTATCCGAAAGGCAGAGGTACTGCAGTGCGGCGAGCTCTCCAAGCTCCGGGGGGATGGAACCTGCAATCGGAAGAGAGGTACAAAACAAATTGAAATACCCCGGCTTTCGAGAACAACGCGAAGTAAAAGATGTCCCGTGGGTTCCGAAATTGCGAAATTTCGTACTCGCCTACGCGTTGGCAGGACCGATGTTCTAGAGCGGAATAACTTCCAGCAGTCGAAAAAATAATCATGGTCCTCGCCTCTCACCTGTTAGCTTGTTTTTGCTCAGCGACAGCTGCCTCAGCTGGCCGAGACCTCCTAGCTCCTTGGGGATGGGTCCTAAATAGCCAAAAAAACGAGTTTGTGAAAAATGCACCACATTTTTGACGCAGTATGAAAGTTTCTAGGAAATGGGTCCTGCCAACGCAGTTGGCGGGACAAGATCTACGGAGATCAGTCGTCTTGAAATTAGAGAGGCGGGTTAATGTTTTCTTATTTCCCGCTTGGTTTCTATCGCACTTTACAGGCCCCATCCCGCCGGAGCTAGGGAACCTCGCAGCGCTGCAATACCTCTACCTTGAAGAAAACAAGCTAAGCGGTGAGTTATGGAGCGCAACATGATATTTGCAAGATTCGGAGGGGAGATTAAAAGAAAAATCCCAGCGCTTTCTGTACAAAAGTTTCGTGGACGCCAACTAGTAGGCGGGACAGGATCTACGGAGATCGATGATATTCAAAAATGCTGGAAACACTACCCTCCTTGTTGCTCAGAGTCTTCGGCAAACTCGACACAGGCTGAAATTCATTGTCATTGAAAGCCTACGACCGCGTTGCTGCCAATGCCATCGTTGCCTGTCAGCGTTCTGGGACCACAGCAGCGACGTTGCACGTGACGAGGAGCTACAGCAAGGGTGCTCAGGTACGTCATATGTTTCACACACATGTCAAAAGCTCTTGCAGACATAACTCCGGGTTCTTGCTGGCCGTATAATTTACTGGTCAAAAGCAGGAGATGGTCAAAGACAGATATTGAGAATAGCTTGCTGACATTGGGCTATCAAGCCTTTTTGTGGGGTATCCACGAAACGGCACCTTCAATCCGGTTCTTGTCAACAGTTTCTTCACGCACACAGAACACATGCAAATATATCAGTTGTGATTGGTGCACGTGTTCAATGCGTTCAATTTGCGTCCCTGCTTTTCTGGCGGCAGCCCACACCTCTTTTCGGGCATGAAGTGTCAACCGAATACATAGAGGCTGTGAAGGTTACGGCGGGGTGATATTCTGCATGTTGTTGGTTCGTAGTGTAGGACTCGGTTTCAACGATGTCTAGTAGGATCACCTGAAACGCAATATGCATGGCATGAGTGCGGGTTGTTCGCCTCCGTAGTTACCACTTCAAAACTGTCCGCTGCGGACTTCTCTGGTTTATGGTAGTCATTAGCACCAAAAGATCATCGCTTGTTGAAAGATTTTTTTCGTAGACGCAAGGCTTACGCGGTCAGCAGCTTGGAGGAGTGTAGGGCAAACCCTGACGTCGTTCCTGGAGAAAATTCGCATCGATCAACCCACTCTCCCGGTACAATGCCCTCGTTTTTTTGTACATCAAAGCCGGCGGATCCATACCGAAACAGCTGGATGGTTTGCTTACTTTGTTTCGCAAGCTGGAGCGAAACCTGTCACTTGAGGGCAACCCTTGGAAAGAGCCTCCGGAAGCAGTGGTGAAGACGGGCATGGCGGCAGCATCGGCGTACTTCGCCGACCTGTTCGAAGAAGGCGTCAGTGTTCGTCGGAACATGATCAAGGTCGTGCTTGTAGGACAAGAAGGCGCCGGAAAAACCAGGTAAGCATGTGCCATCTGTTTGCCGCTTGAATCTGCCTTGACATGGACACCCTCAGGTCCGCCTATTCGCAAGCGCTGTANTACCTCGGCAACAACGAGCTAGATGGTGAGTTACAACAGATCGATTTGATTTCGAGTTCTGAACGTGCATGAACCCCTCCAACTACCGTCGACGCCAACTAGTTGGCGTCCACACGCCGGCAAGGTTCATCCAAAAATATTTGAAACCACTGTAAATGAAAAAGGTTACCTGTGAGCCGGTTGCTGTTGAGCCACAGCTCCCGCACCTCTCGGAGATCTCCGAGCTCCTTCGGGATGGAGCCTGTGCGAGAATATTTATCCGAACACGGGGGAATAATAAGAAATTGCCCGCTGGCTTTTGTCGATCTCCGTAGATTCTGTCTCGCCAACTAGTAGGTGGGACCGATATTCTAGAAAGCGGGACGTTAATTTTTTTCGTCCCGCTCAGTTACTCCGTTCCGCCCGTCCGCTTGCAGGCCCCATCCCATCGGAGTTGGGGAACCTTTCCGCACTGAAGGAGGTCTCCCTTCGGTCCAACCAGCTGAGCGGTGAGTCAACACGAAATTTGCTAGCTCTTTCCCGACCGACTTACTGCTGTACATGGACGCCAACTAATCGGCGAGATTCATACACGGGACTCATGTACAACGCGTGTTGACTCACCGCTCAGCTGGTTGTTCCAAAGGCTGGGCTTCTTCAGTGCTGAAAGGTGCCCCAGCTCCGATGGGATGGGCCCTGCGGCGTAAATTCAAGCATGGATTCAGCGGGGAGTTAGCGGGGGAATAAAAATGAGTTGCCCGCTGGCTTTTGTCGATCTCCGTAGAACTTGTCCCGCCACTCTATTTTCAAGAGGACGCCAACTAGTTGGCGTCCTCTTGAAAATAGAGAGGGGGGTAGATGGCGTCCACTGCAACGGCGGGATCAATTCTGAATTTATACCGATGTCTTACCAGATAGTTGGTTGTAGCTAAGGTCGACCCTCTTCAGTGCTGCGAGCTTTCCCAGCTCCGCCGGGATGGGGCCTGCGAGCAGGAGGGCGATACAAATGAAGCGCGACAAAAAAATTAGAAAAATGAACCCGCCTCTCTATTTTCGAATGGACGCCAACTAGTGGGCGGGACCGATGTTCTCGAAAGCGGGAGATATCTTTTGCTTTACCCCGCTCAATTGCCCTGCTTCGACTCCTTCATCTACAGGCCACATCCCGCCGCAGCTAGGAGATCTTGGCGCCCTCGAGGCCCTCAACCTCGCCTTCAACGAGCTAGATGGTGAGTTGAGTTGATATAAAAATATATCTCTTTCGACTTCTGAACGCATGAGTCCCGCGCGTCCTCTTGAAAATAGAGAGGGGGGTAGATGGCGTCCACTGCAACGGCGGGATCAATTCTGAATTTATACCGATGTCTTACCAGATAGTTGGTTGTAGCTAAGGTCGACCCTCTTCAGTGCTGCGAGCTTTCCCAGCTCCGCCGGGATGGGGCCTGCGAGCAGGAGGGCGATACAAATGAAGCGCGACAAAAAAATTAGAAAAATGAACCCGCCTCTCTATTTTCGAATGGACGCCAACTAGTGGGCGGGACCGATGTTCTCGAAAGCGGGAGATATCTTTTGCTTTACCCCGCTCAATTGCCCTGCTTCGACTCCTTCATCTACAGGCCACATCCCGCCGCAGCTAGGAGATCTTGGCGCCCTCGAGGCCCTCAACCTCGCCTTCAACGAGCTAGATGGTGAGTTGAGTTGATATAAAAATATATCTCTTTCGACTTCTGAACGCATGAGTCCCGCGCGTCCTCTTGAAAATAGAGAGGGGGGTAGATGGCGTCCACTGCAACGGCGGGATCAATTCTGAATTTATACCGATGTCTTACCAGATAGTTGGTTGTAGCTAAGGTCGACCCTCTTCAGTGCTGCGAGCTTTCCCAGCTCCGCCGGGATGGGGCCTGCGAGCAGGAGGGCGATACAAATGAAGCGCGACAAAAAAATTAGAAAAATGAACCCGCCTCTCTATTTTCGAATGGACGCCAACTAGTGGGCGGGACCGATGTTCTCGAAAGCGGGAGATATCTTTTGCTTTACCCCGCTCAATTGCCCTGCTTCGACTCCTTCATCTACAGGCCACATCCCGCCGCAGCTAGGAGATCTTGGCGCCCTCGAGGCCCTCAACCTCGCCTTCAACGAGCTAGATGGTGAGTTGAGTTGATATAAAAATATATCTCTTTCGACTTCTGAACGCATGAGTCCCGCGCGTCCTCTTGAAAATAGAGAGGGGGGTAGATGGCGTCCACTGCAACGGCGGGATCAATTCTGAATTTATACCGATGTCTTACCAGATAGTTGGTTGTAGCTAAGGTCGACCCTCTTCAGTGCTGCGAGCTTTCCCAGCTCCGCCGGGATGGGGCCTGCGAGCAGGAGGGCGATACAAATGAAGCGCGACAAAAAAATTAGAAAAATGAACCCGCCTCTCTATTTTCGAATGGACGCCAACTAGTGGGCGGGACCGATGTTCTCGAAAGCGGGAGATATCTTTTGCTTTACCCCGCTCAATTGCCCTGCTTCGACTCCTTCATCTACAGGCCACATCCCGCCGCAGCTAGGAGATCTTGGCGCCCTCGAGGCCCTCAACCTCGCCTTCAACGAGCTAGATGGTGAGTTGAGTTGATATAAAAATATATCTCTTTCGACTTCTGAACGCATGAGTCCCGCGCGTCCTCTTGAAAATAGAGAGGGGGGTAGATGGCGTCCACTGCAACGGCGGGATCAATTCTGAATTTATACCGATGTCTTACCAGATAGTTGGTTGTAGCTAAGGTCGACCCTCTTCAGTGCTGCGAGCTTTCCCAGCTCCGCCGGGATGGGGCCTGCGAGCAGGAGGGCGATACAAATGAAGCGCGACAAAAAAATTAGAAAAATGAACCCGCCTCTCTATTTTCGAATGGACGCCAACTAGTGGGCGTCCACGAAATTTTACAACTCGCGGGATAACTTTTTCTGTACTCTTCCAAACTGCCCTACGTTGACTCGTTCATCTACAGGCCACATTCCGCCGCAGCTCGGACAGCTTGGCGCCCTCCAGTTCCTCGGCCTCTCCAGAAACAAGTTAGATGGTGAGTTGGAATATATCGAAAAGAGTTTTGTTTTCTTGCGAGTTCTGAAGTTTCGTGGACGCCTACTAGTTGGCGTCCACCCACTATTAATACGGGATTTACACGACAGCATCGTCAATTGACAAAACTTCAACAAACGCCTAAACCATCGCAAAGCGTTCATTTGGTACCTGTAAGCTCGTTGTCGTAGAGCCACAGCTCCTGCAGCTCGCTGAGATCCCCTAGTTCCGGTGGGATGTGGCCTGCAAGCGGTCGGGGGGAACAGAATGGCTGAGCGGGACAAAAACAATATCACTCCCCGCTTTCTAGATCACACCTACTCACCTACCGCCGTCTCTATTTTCAAGAGGACGCCAACTAGTGGGTGGGACACCATCTACGGAGATCGACTATCTCGAAAAGAGAGAGCCGGGTGATTAAATTCTATTTCCCCCGCAAATGTATATTACTCTATTGCAGGTGCGATCCCGGCGCAGCTCGGCGCTCTCAACAAGCTCGCGTGGCTCGACCTGTCCAACAACCAGCTCAGCGGTGAGAGACTGATAGAATTTGAATACTTAATTAAATTTTCTCATAACGTAGTCATATGCCCCGCCGGAGCCGGGAAAATGGACGCCAACTAGTTTGCCCGCCTCTCTATTTTCAAGAGGACGCCAACTAGTTGGCGTCCTCTTGAAAATAGAGAGGCGGGCAAATTAGTTGGCGTCCATTTTCCCGGCGCCGGCGGGGCATATGACTACGTTATGAGAAAATTTAATTAAGTATTCAAATTCTATCAGTCTCTCACCGCTGAGCTGGTTGTTGGACAGGTCGAGCCACGCGAGCTTGTTGAGAGCGCCGAGCTGCGCCGGGATCGCACCTGCAATAGAGTAATATACATTTGCGGGGGAAATAGAATTTAATCACCCGGCTCTCTCTTTTCGAGATAGTCGATCTCCGTAGATGGTGTCCCACCCACTAGTGGGTGGGACAGGATCTACGGAGATCAAATATCTCGAAAAGAGAGAGCCGGGTGATTAAATTCCATTTCCCCCGCAAATGTATATTACTTTTCTGCAGGTGCGATCCCGGCGCAGCTTGGCGCTCTCAACAAGCTCTGGAGGCTCGACCTGTCCAGAAACCAGCTCAGCGGTGAGAGACTGATAGAATTTGAATGCTTTCTTAAATTTTCTCATAACGTCTTCATGTGCCCCGCCGGCGCCGGGAATGGACGCCAACTAGTTGGCGTCCATTCACGCATGCTATTCAACCGAACTCGAAAGAAAGAGATGCTGTTCAATCTCCTGGACTCACCATCTAGCTTGTTGTAGTTGAGGTAGAGATGCGTCAAGGCGCTGAGATCTCCAAGCTGCGGTGGGATGTGTCCTGTAGAAGTGCGAGTCGAAGTAAGACAGTATCAGAAATCGGAAAAAAAGGTCGGGCGTTCAAGTTGCTCGGATGAATCTCGCCACTCTAATTTGGAGTGGACGCCAACTAGTTGGCGTCCATTCACGCATGCTATTCAACCGAACTCGAAAGAAAGAGATGCTGTTCAATCTCCTGGACTCACCATCTAGCTTGTTGGAGGTGAGGTAGAGATGCGTCAAGGCGCTGAGATCTCCAAGCTGCGGTGGGATGTGTCCTGTAGAAGTGCGAGTCGAAGTAAGACAGTATCAGAAATCGGAAGAAAAGGTCGGGCGTTCAAGTTGCTCGGATGAATCTCGCCACTCTAATTTCAAGTGGACGCCAACTAGTTGACGGGACAAGATCTACGGAGATCGACAAAAGCCAGCGGGCAATTTCTTAGTATTCCCCCGTGTCCGGATAAATCTTCTGCGCACAGGCTCCATCCCGAAGGAGCTGGGAGATCTCCGAGAGCTGCGGGCGCTGGTGCTCGACCACAACCGGCTCACAGGTAACCGTTCTAATTTTCAGTGGTTTCAAATATTTTTAGTATATCGATCTCCGTAGATCTTGTCCCGCCTACTAGTTGGCGGGACAAGATCTACGGAGATCAGTCGTCTTGAAATTAGAGAGGCGGGTTAATGTTTTCTTATTTCCCGCTTGGTTTCTATCGCACTTTACAGGCCCCATCCCGCCGGAGCTAGGGAACCTCGCAGCGCTGCAATACCTCTACCTTGAAGAAAACAAGCTAAGCGGTGAGTTATGGAGCGCAACATGATATTTGCAAGATTCGGAGGGGAGATTAAAAGAAAAATCCCAGCGCTTTCTGTACAAAAGTTTCGTGGACGCCAACTAGTAGGCGGGACAGGATCTACGGAGATCGATGATATTCAAAAATGCTGGAAACACTACCCTCCTTGTTGCTCAGAGTCTTCGGCAAACTCGACACAGGCTGAAATTCATTGTCATTGAAAGCCTACGACCGCGTTGCTGCCAATGCCATCGTTGCCTGTCAGCGTTCTGGGACCACAGCAGCGACGTTGCACGTGACGAGGAGCTACAGCAAGGGTGCTCAGGTACGTCATATGTTTCACACACATGTCAAAAGCTCTTGCAGACATAACTCCGGGTTCTTGCTGGCCGTATAATTTACTGGTCAAAAGCAGGAGATGGTCAAAGACAGATATTGAGAATAGCTTGCTGACATTGGGCTATCAAGCCTTTTTGTGGGGTATCCACGAAACGGCACCTTCAATCCGGTTCTTGTCAACAGTTTCTTCACGCACACAGAACACATGCAAATATATCAGTTGTGATTGGTGCACGTGTTCAATGCGTTCAATTTGCGTCCCTGCTTTTCTGGCGGCAGCCCACACCTCTTTTCGGGCATGAAGTGTCAACCGAATACATAGAGGCTGTGAAGGTTACGGCGGGGTGATATTCTGCATGTTGTTGGTTCGTAGTGTAGGACTCGGTTTCAACGATGTCTAGTAGGATCACCTGAAACGCAATATGCATGGCATGAGTGCGGGTTGTTCGCCTCCGTAGTTACCACTTCAAAACTGTCCGCTGCGGACTTCTCTGGTTTATGGTAGTCATTAGCACCAAAAGATCATCGCTTGTTGAAAGATTTTTTTCGTAGACGCAAGGCTTACGCGGTCAGCAGCTTGGAGGAGTGTAGGGCAAACCCTGACGTCGTTCCTGGAGAAAATTCGCATCGATCAACCCACTCTCCCGGTACAATGCCCTCGTTTTTTTGTACATCAAAGCCGGCGGATCCATACCGAAACAGCTGGATGGTTTGCTTACTTTGTTTCGCAAGCTGGAGCGAAACCTGTCACTTGAGGGCAACCCTTGGAAAGAGCCTCCGGAAGCAGTGGTGAAGACGGGCATGGCGGCAGCATCGGCGTACTTCGCCGACCTGTTCGAAGAAGGCGTCAGTGTTCGTCGGAACATGATCAAGGTCGTGCTTGTAGGACAAGAAGGCGCCGGAAAAACCAGGTAAGCATGTGCCATCTGTTTGCCGCTTGAATCTGCCTTGACATGGACACCCTCAGGTCCGCCTATTCGCAAGCGCTGTAGCACGGCAGCCCCCGTTAAGGTTGACGTCCCGTCTGAAAATGCATCGCCCTTAACACGTAGCACATAGTTGCGGACCGTCGCTACCGGTTGGCGGTATGCTCATGCCGCTGGCTCTGTTCCAGCCTACACTCAAGATGCTAGGGTCCAAAACAACAACTAGCTTGTGACTTCATTTTAGAATGATGGGAACATATCTTGATTTCAGAAGTGTGTGTGGAGCTAGGCCGTGAGGAAGGTAGACCGTGAGAGGCTCCGACATGAACCGAATGGGGTTTCTCGAGAAACGTTTGTAGGAGTATGTATGTGGTCTAGTGGGTCATCTTTCGTTACTTCTTCATCTTCCAAACCAGCTACGATTTGCGCGTAACTCACGATCTAGTAAGAACGAGATCTAGAGCCCACACGTTTGTTTACGAACATATCTGCTGCCTGGTCTCGCTCCAGCCGCGATGTCTAGCTTACTTCCTCTTCTGCGTGTGAGGCGTGTAGCACCTCTCACACACCACGTCGGTTCTTGTACGATGTCGGTGTGCGCCTGTCGGGGAGTCTACGCAGCATGGTGCTTTGGCTGGACGTTGCATTTGAGCTGTGTCCGTGTTTTGCATCGGCGTTTGGTATGCCTCAAACGCGGCAATCCCGAGCTCCACAGAGAAGCAACGGCTGCCCATCTGAAATTAATCGAAGCTGAACGGTTGATACTGTACACTAGGATGCAGCATGCCACCGTCCCCTCCTAATTGCAAACCAATTCCTTTGCAAGACAAAGACAGTAGGCCTTGCAGACATACAGATGTTTTGGAGGCATCAAAAAAGGCGGCGACGGTTGACCGCAGTGCGAGTCACGGAGTTCCGCGTTGTTGTTGGTCGCGTACACGGTTTTCGAGCTCCTCCATTTGCCTAAAAACACCGCTAGACCTGTCGATGGGAACTATTTTGGCCCAATTGTGACACCCTTCGCTTTGTCAAAGGTCACCGTGGGGTGTATAATAATGTACTCTGTTGCGGTTGTGCGTACCCCGACACGCAGCTTACGCCAGAGCATACGGAGTCGTAAACCGACTCCTACCAGTGGGCCTGCGGAGAGCACCGTGCAAATCGACGTGGAGGAGATAGAGATGGATGACGGCGTCTCTCTTCGCATTTATGATTGCGCCGGGCAGGTGAACGTCTGCTGTTTGTCGTCCGGTATCTCTGGCACTTCGCGCATGTAGCACAGCTGACACAACTAGCCCGTTTACACGAGGATGGAGGGCACTTTGAGGCGGAAGATGAACACGTTTGATTCACCCGAGCACCGTTGCCTTTAATGCAAACATTGCGGCAGCGCTTGAAACGAATTTGTTCCGGTGCATGGGTAATTTAGCTACTACAGTTCTTGTTGATTTGTGGGTTTTTCTATACCTAGGAGCTGTGTGAGGTCAACATTTCGTGAATTTTTGCCTCGTGGTGGTTGGCGACAAATCTTTGTATTCCGTGGGTCGATGTTGCGTAAACTGGCACGATTGTCCCCACTCTTGAAGGTTGCGCTTGTTTTATTTGTGACGTTGACCAGGGCACAGAAGTTTTGTTAAGACGAAGCCCGAGGTCGTTTTTGAAGTTTTTTTTACGCTCCAGCAAGCCCGCATGTTTTCCCTCGCAGCTTGCTCGGATTGGTGGCGTTGGAACTTATGTTCGTGTCGACTGCCGCAACAGGTTGCCTACACAGGGCTGCTGCAGATGTTCCTCTCGCCTCGAGCTGTTACTCTTCTCGTGTGTAACACCGAGGCGTTCGGAGAGCGAGGTGGCTACCCGGCCGGCGGGAACCCGCTGAATGAGGATCTTTACAAACTTCAAGAGCTACGCGTGTGCAGTTGGTTACGATCATTGTCGTTTCGTATTCCCGATAGCGACGTTGTCGCTGTCGCAACCAAGTGCGACCGCGCAGCTGGGATGGCCGTTGTGATGGCCGAGAGGATGGAGCTAGCTATCCGGAAGTGGCTACGAGAATGGTCTCGTTCTCAAATGACCGCTGTTCGTGTGGAGGATGGCGTGAGTCTTACCAGCTGCGTTCCTTCGGCACCACAAGAGCGCGATGGTATTGCTTTGGGGAAGAGGAAGAGCCCCGAGGATTCGATGTGGGCATGCGACTGGCGCCAGGACACCCCCGGCGAGCCTCTTCCGAGTTTGCTGCACCGAGTCATCTACAACAGCAAGGGCCATATTCGCGGAGCGGCGTTGGTTCTTCCTCGGAGCTGGAACATCGCCCTCGTCGTGCTCGATGCTCTGGGAAACGGCAGGCAAGTGCGAGATCTCAGTCGAACGAACAGCAGTTGCGGGGAACCCATCCTAGTCAAATGTAGGGTTGATTTTGGTTGGGAATATCTTCAAAGAACAAATGCCCTTTGTGGTTCCGCTTACCCCCGCATCGGCCATCTTTATCTGGCGATTGCTCAGGGATCCCGTAGATTCGGTGCGCGAGATGGACGTCGAGGCGGACGGGCGACCGGCACGCGACGAGGGGATTGCCGCGAGATCGACCCAGCAGCACGATGGAATAGAGGGTATAACATGGGCAGACCTATCCGCGAAATGGAAAGGCGTCGTTCAAGCTCTGAAGGAAGACGGAGTAACAGTCATGAACCCCGACCACGCCTTGGAAGGGGCGCTCTCAATCAGGCACGTCTAGTCGTTGTGAAGGTTGTGCACATGTGTTGCATCGATGCCGTAGGTCCACGTGCTGGCATGGTTTGGGGTGTGTTTTTGTGACAGACCGTTGTGTTCACCGAATGACGGGTGTTGGGTGTGCGTGGGTCCTTTCCATCTATTTTGTCCTCTGTTGCACATTGTCGGCTTATGGCACCGGGTGTGCGTGGGTCCATTACAACTATTTTGTCCTCTGTTGCACATTTTTTGTTCATGGTACCGGGTGTGCGCGGGTCCATTCCATCTATTTTGTCCTCTGTTGCACATTTTCGGCGTAAGGCACCGTTCGTTTCTTTCCCTGTGGCACTTGATACATGGCCCAGGGTATCAGAGGATAGCCACGACTTCCTCTTCATCGTTTGGATTTGATTTTGTCGCGAGATCTCAGTCGACCCTTTCTCATCCTCGGCAATGAATGCGAACTTTGTTTTACCCGCAGTGGAGTACCACAGCTGGTCTGGTGTGAGAAATGTCCCAGTCGGTGTGGTACTTAATCGTCAACCGAATGCACGACCTATTGGCCAACATGTTCGCAGCTTTCCAACTGAACCACCAAGGCGGCCGATTGGGCATGCGGCCGTGCTCTTGTTGTTCGTTGCGGGTTCTTAAATATTCCTAGTGACACACATCAAGCCATATTTTCCATTTTCTGGGTATTTGCTCCGTGGCAAGAAACACGTGCGAGACGCTGAGAGTTGGTCCCCGTTCTAATCCTATCCCCTTGTCGGGTGCTCCTCTTTGTCGGTCGCAGAGAGTACGAGGGGTCCCTCGTTCGGCACGAGACGTACGTTTTCCTTGACGTAACGTGGCTGGCCAAGATCCTCAAGCCGCTTCTGAACCACAGAGAAGACGAAGATTTTTTTGGCAGCTTGTCTCTGGGCGACACGGGCATCACGCTGGACGGGCATAAGGACAAGGTTTCTTGGCAGAGATTCAAGCAGACCGGTGTTCTCAAACCAGAGTTGGCGGGACTTTTGTGGCCTGGCGATCTATGCGACTACGTTCTTCGTACGCTTGAGTCGCTAGGGCTCGCACACCAACTCGACGACCGTTTCGCCGGGGGGCTGGTGGTCCTGCTCAGACTTGGTAAGGAACGCCCCGCAAGTGTGGGCAAGGAGCTAGACGACTTTCGCCGTGACCACGAAGCCATTTTTAGCGTTACCTGGAAGATCTCCATGGGCGTGCCGCCGGGAGCAGTTGAGAAGGTGCTGACGCGGTGCTGCAGTATCGGGGAGCTCCGGACATTTTGGCGCTTCGGCGTGCTTGTGCAAGGCAACATGGGCGGGGTTACCGCAGGGAAGACCTTCGCTATGTTGGTCGAGTACTCGCACAAGGGGAGTGAGATCGACATTAAGGTGTACGGCAACATCGCTACCACCGCTCCCTGGGCGGCGCTTTCTCTCGGGATTTCGGCGGTTCGGGTGATGTGCTCCGCATTTCCGGGGCTGCGGTGGTGCGCCTCCCTCAAATGCCCCGAACACAAACAAGACATGCCCATCAGCAACACGGTGAGTTCAGTAGCAGTTGTTTCCGCCGTATGAAAATGAGTCTTCATCGGTGTAGCTACGCACAACATACGATAACGGCTGTCGAGGGTATAGACACTTGCGCCAGATGTAGGTGCCGCACCTTGTCGGAACCGCACAACGAAACTGCAGTGCTACAACCCCCCCCGGCTACCTCGTCAACGTTCTTGAAATGTCGAGCATCCCCGTACCTGGCGTCATCCGACAGGCAACCCGACCCGGCGACAAGCTGTTGCTAGAGCATGGTTGTACCCTGTGCAGCTCCGAGACAGGTGGCGTTGGCGCGGCGGCCACGGAACTGCTACAGATGGTGGACGTACTCCAGAATAGAGGTACGCACAGAGTATACGTCGTTTCGATTTTTTTGCCCTGCCCAGCGGCTTTGTCTTAATCCTTCCATATGCACCAAGCTCACAAAAGCGTCTTTCAGCACGCAATGAGAAGGTCCAGCAGTTTCTTTATTGAATACGATAAAAATTGCAGTCCTGCGCAAAGGTGCTCTCGTGGCGAAATGTTTGGCCCTGTGCTATGCCGGTCTGTTGAGTCGCAGAGTTGCACCTTCCTGAACACGGAGACATGAAAACATTCCGTATTCTTTTCCCAACCTTACCCGCGCGTTGTGGCGCACGCTTGCTTTCTCACTTCGTGCCAGACAAGATGTTCCGCGAGGTGCATGGGAGGTTTGTCGACTTGCAACGGCAGTACCCCGTGCTTCGCCCAGAGGTGAGCGCACGTTGCAGTGTCGAAGAAATTCGTCACCTGGCCCTACTTCGCGTAGATTTTCTGTGCCATGGCGCCCATTATACCGTGGGTGAAGTGTGTTCCCAGTCGTAGTGCGCCTCGTCCGAAAACATGACAGCATTTTTTACTGACTGGTGTTTAGAGGTCGGTCCCCGATCAATGCGTTTCACCTGGCCTCTGCACGAGAATTCACTTCGAGATAGCTGTTAATGTCTGTTGTCAATCTTTGGGTGGTAAGCCCTCAACGCGCTACGTGCCAGTCGGCCGACGGTTGTTGGGCACCTATCATTGCGCTGACGAACGGAGGATTCCATCGCCACATGAACTCATCCCCGATATATTATCTTGCCCGCAATTTGGCAAACGTACCGACTGACCTGTTAAACCTGAGCAGAAGTCACGGGAGTTCAACTCGGAGCAGGCCCGGCGTCGATTTGAAACATGGTTGACCGGGATGAGAGAAGAGGCGGCAGGTTTGCTTCGTGGCGGGGGGGATGTTGGGGAAAGCACCAAGGCGGGAGAACGGGGTGATATCAGTGGTGTTTCAGACGACGTGGCGAAGCTCCCGCAGTTGGTTGGGCACCTGCAGCATCAGCTGGAACAAAACCAGAAGGATGTGCGAGGGTGGCTTGGAGAGGTTTTGGAGGCAATAGTCGATGCAGACGCTGGGGCGATGAAGCAGCGGGAATTCTTGGTAGCCATGTTGATGAAGGTGAGAAGTGAAGGGATCGACACACCTCGACAGGCATGCGTCCTCCCTGAATGGAATTTCGCCCAGTCACACGGGCTATCCGAGCACGAGCAAACACCGGAGGTGTGGGTGAAGCGGCTTCACGAGTGGCGGGAGGACGACTTCAAACAGGGCAAAGGGGTTTTCTGGAAGAAAAAACGCCTCTTCCTGCTGTGCGCCCACACACATCGGCTTGTCCCATGCGGGCCCAAAGGTCAAGGCTACGACATCCAGCAGCTCCGCACTTGGGCGCGCAAGTCGATTAGTGCGACGGCATTTGCTCTGCAGGTGGTGTGCTCCACGTTGGCGGCGATGGCAGCGGCACCTCTGGCAGCGGCACCCGTGGCAACGGCCGGTGGTGTCGTTGAGGCAACTGTTTCAGAGGCTTTGGGGAGTTTGCAGTCGAAGCTGGAAGGGCTGACTCTTGAAGACGACAAGTTGAACGTAGACCACCAGGTGACGACTATGCGCATCAATTTAGTCTTCTAAGTTTGATCACGACCTCTTGATTCTCACGGCTCGCCACTGTATATATCCTCCAAACGTATCCTCAAGTTGGATTTCAATCAACCGACATGCAATTGGTGCTCAAGTTCCCCATCCACCTCTGCTGTGCATTGTCCGACCGTTGAAGACGGCTAATCTTGAAGGGAACGCTTACGCTTCTCTGCGGGAGTTCATCCACGGGGTGGAGGACGACGCTCGTGTTGAGATCTTCAAGGCGACGAAGAAGGCCCACAAAGAGCGCCGTGCCCCTCCAAGTTCATCGGAGTTCGTATTTTTTTCGCAGAAGATGACCCAGGTGCAGAGGCATGACGGTGACGCCGCTGTGCAGTGGGTGCTGAAGGGGCAAGAAGATGCGTGGCGCAAAGAAAAGATGTCGGCCCCGAAGGCATAGGTGTGGGGGAAGAGTATAGAACGGAGAATTGCGCGAATGCAGCGGACATGGGGTCAACCCGGGTGATCCATGGGAAAAATGTCCGCCGGCGTAAAGCGAATTTAACTCATGGATGCCAGTTGATAAACAGTGTGCAAAACCCACGCTCATGTTCCGTTCGGTTTTGCCCCCCTTTGAGCTTTATTGCGTGTCTCTGTTTCGCGCTACAGAAGTCATGTTCTGGGATGGGTCTTGGGGGCGTTCGGCTTTGCATGTTTTAATGAGATTTCGGTATCTTGAATATTGCCACTGTTTCTTCATGAAACCAGCCCAGTCAGATCTCAGAACGCCGGCTAAAGCAAGCAGTATCATCGATGGCATTCCGCGAGGATAACTTCCGGTGGTGCCTACGTGCGGATCTTGTTTTGGCCTCGTTTTGTAAGGGGTACCCGCCGGATCGAGCTGTCCAAAGTGAACTTAGCGCGCTTGGTCACCGGCGAACAAAGGCTGCAGTCGACTGCTTCGCCGGCTACAATCGACGTGCCCGACCAGCAAGCAAGGCGCCGCATCCTGTCAACTCACTCTAAGATTCTCCGACTGAAAGAAGTGGGCTTGAATCCAGGGGCATTTGTCGTGCGCGGCACATGGATCGATACATGGTTAGGCCTCAGTAGCAGCTGTACCATTTTGAACTTCAGCTTCAGCGTGCACTTTAAGACCTAGTGCGAGAAAAGGCAGCTACGACCGCCTCTAACATGCCAAAACGCTGCGTTGACGCCATGCTCCAGCACTCGCCCTGAAGGCACTCTGAATCGTAGTTGCTGACCGCGACTGTTTCCTATCCCCGTACTTCACGTACACTCTCTCCATCGCTCTGGCTATGAACTTGGGGATATAATCGCACGCGCTCTCGTAGTCGCGCAAAAATCCCACCTTGATCATGTTAAACGCTGTACCAGCTCGCATGCATTCTGTCATATAATTTTGGAGGCACACCTTCATCTGCCCGACGACCGTAGTCAGACGTGACGATCCTTGTCGTCGTCGCCGACGTACTCTATGCAGGTGTACGGCGAAAATAATCCTGCTTGGATGCCAGAAGGCTCAGTGAACATCGGGTTACGCCGGCTCTGGCTCTAGCTCATGTAGAGTTGATTGAAGGTTCACCATATCTGCTTTTTGGGGGGGCAGGGATGCTGCGTGGTTGCTGCAAACAAAATGAAATTCTCACGAGCTTGATCGCGCCAAGTCGACCACACGCTGCCCCGTTTTTTGATAACTTGGTTGCCGCTGGGCCGCCGGTGGATCGTATTTGTTTCCAACAATAACAAGAGTCACCGAAGATATAGATAGCCCCCCCCTCCTTCTCTGGTGATGGTGGGTGTGCTCATCAGTGCCCAGACCACTGGGTGGGCCGGTGCAGGCAGATATTGGGACAGTTTTCTTTTATCTTACACTACGGGTACCAAAACGAGCGCCACAGCCTCAAACTCTGACTTCTTCGGCGAGGCGGTCATGTGTGCCAGCGCTCCCGAGCGTGAAGAAAAAAAAGTTGCCTACGAGAAGCGCCCGTGTCATCTGAACAGGCAAAATACCGAGGTTTTTCCCTAACTTGAAGCAGGTAGTGTTGAGGGATATCTTACGAAGGGCAGGGGTGGTCGACGCCAAGTTTAACATGAGAGAAATGGTGTGAGTGCGCGCTTTCGGACCTCTTGTGCCACATGTGTCCGAAATGTTGTGAGATCGGGGGCACTATGAAAACAAAGCTCGTACCATATATATCTTTCTCCATACACGGCTCCCCCTCCGAGCAAAAGCACCTCCCATCAGCAGCATTCCGTGCGAAAGCTCAACGAGGTGCACATACACCGAGGCGAAACCCACCGTGACAGAGGAGCTACACAAGGAGGCCGGTAGCGTGGAAGCAACAAGAACCGTCAGGGTCCAGCTGCACCCCGAGTACTGCCAAGGTGAGTCTTTTCTTCCAGGTCTTTCTTGAGTCCCAGCTGACGCGGGCGCTCGCCGCGAACAGCTGGAGAATGAGACGCAGGCAGCAATATCGGTCAAGGTCGGCGCGGCCTGTCTCTACTGGTCGCTGGTGCCTTGTTTTGCTTTGTTTACTTCCGATCGTGTGTTGCAAGTGATGTTCTTTTTTCCAGCACCAATTTTGTCGGAGAGTTGTTCGGTGAATGCGCCGCAGCTGTGCAGCGTATCTGATATCTGCCATCTTCAAAGGTTATCTCCGTGAACAGCCACGAGGGATTAACAGATGCGACGCAACAAAGCCACGCCGGCCACGGTCGGCGCGCGGCCTGTCTCTACCGGCCCTTGGTGCTTTGTTTTGCTTTGGTTGTTTTTTTACTTTCGGGCGTGTATTGCAAGTGATGTTCTTTTTTCCAGAACCGCTTCTGTCGGAGAGTTTGGTCGTTGACTGCACCGCAGCTGTGCAGCGTATCTGATGTCTGCGAACTGACAAGGTTATCTCCGCACACAGCAGCGAGGGATGAACGGCGTACAAGATACGACGCAACCAGCCACGCCGGTCACGGTCGGTGCGCGGCCTGTCGCTACGGGCTCCTGGTGGTTTGATGCGAGGGGAGGCTCGTGTTGTCTTTTTCTTCCATTGAAGGTCATTTTTGCGAATATCCCGCAAACTTCCGCACCCACCCCAGGTCCACTCCTGCGATGGCATCGACGGACCGTGCCGCATTGGTTGCTCTATACAAGGCGACCGACGGAGATAATTGGAAGTACAACACAAACTGGAATACTCATGCACCGCTAGGGCAATGGTACGGAGTCGGAGTCAACGGCCAGGGCCGCGTGGTGGAGTTGAAGCTGGGCGGCAACAACCTTAAAGGTATTTTTTCCGTGTTTACTTCGTCCGTAGAGCCTGCTGCCGTCTTGCAACATGCTCGACCTTTCCCAAGAATTCCTTGACCGACAGTGGCCCTTTCATAAAATTGCAAGTTTTGCAACAGGCCACAACGTTGTCACTTTGGTACGTGCCCTCGTTCTGCACGCGGTCCACTCCTGAGTACCCCTCATAAGTGAATTCGCCACAGTAAGAGCACGGCGTGCGCACAATGCTGCTGTACTCGTCAAGGCTAATCGATACCGCAATGTCTCGTCTCTTAGCTTGCTCATTAAATACCCTCCACCTGTACACCAAATCGACTTTCCTGGCTTTTAGATGCCTCTGGTAAGCGGGCGATCTTCGGTATCGCTTCCGCAGGGCTCTGATGCGGCGTATGTCGTACTCTGGAGCATTCACGACGACGAACCCGTCCCGCACGGGGCCAGTAGGCTTGGTGGATGGTTTCCTTGTCGAGATCCATCCGCTGTCCTTTGTCGCACCCATGGCTGATGATCGGCCGGAAGTGCTGTGTGGTATGGGAGTATGTGTGGCGTCTGTCAGAGAGGAAATGTTCGAGACTTTGACGGGTCTACGGGTGAAAAATTAAGCATGACCCGGTTTCTGGAACACCTTCTCGCCTATGCCAAATGCGGTTCCGTGGACACCAACTGCGTAGGCGGGACCAGATGTACGGAGATCGATGATTAAAAACAGAGAGCTGGGTGATTTAGTTTTATTCCCCGCTGAATGCGTTTTACTCTCCTTCTTGCAGGCCCCATCCCGCCGGAGCTGGGAAACCTCAGAGAGCTGAAGAGGTTGTGGCTCCACTCAAACAAGCTCACAGGTAATATTGTTATTTGTCTCAAACTGGTTCCATGGATGAATCCCGCCGACGCGTGGGTGGGACACGATCCCCGGAGATCAAATCTCTAGAAACTTTGAGGAAAAAACGTGCGACGTTCCCTTCCCATTCCCCAATACCATGCAGGTGAAATCCCGGCGTCACTAGGACAGCTCAGCAACCTCCGGACTCTCGATCTGTTCAACAACAAGCTCAGTGGTGAGTATGCAGTGGCAGATTTGAGTGCATCCTGTGGAACAAATATTTTTCTCGGCGTGATTCCACGAATGAATCCTGCCGATGCGTTGGCGGGACAAGATCTCCGGAGATCGATGACCTAGGGAAAAGAACAGCCGGGTATTTTATTTTTTATTCCCCGCAAACTTCGTATTGCTCTTCTGCTTGCAGGATCCATCCCGCCGGAGCTGGGAAACCTCGTAGCACTGAACGAGCTCGACCTTCGCGGTAACCAACTGACTGGTGAGACATTTACAGAAGTTTCAGAAGGAATCCCGCCCATGCACGCGTGGGTGGGACAGGATCTACGAAGATTCAAGGAGATCGATCGGAATCAATAGAAAACGACACCTCACCGGTCAGCGCGTTGTAGTTGAGCGCAAGAATCCCCAGCTTAGCAAGAGCTCCAAGTTGCTTCGGGACAGACCCTGTACAAGCAGCGCACAGCAAGAAAAACAAACTTGAATTCTCAAAAACAAAAAATGAGTCACCGTAGATCCTGTCCCACTCACGCGTTGGCGGGACAAGATCTACGGAGATCGATTATCTAGAAAAATGACAACCGGGTTATTTGTTTTTTTTCCCCGCTGCATTCGTATTGCTCTTGTGTTTGCAGGCTCCATCCCGCCGGAGCTGGGAAAGCTCGCAGCCCTGATGGAAATCGACCTTTCCTACAACCAACTGAGCGGTGAGTTGCTTCACAATTTAGGTGGACTGATATCTTCCCGATTTTTTCTGAACGAATCCCGCCGATGGCGTACGCGGGACAAGATCTACGGAGATCGAATGTCTCAAGTACATTGAACTATTGTTGTGATGTATTCGCTTTTTACGTGTGCTGCTCCTTTTGCAGGGAGCATCCCGAAGGAGCTCGGAGCGCTGAGCAAGTTGGAAAAGCTTATTCTTATTCTCTATGGCAACCAGCTTACTGGTGAGAATTTGTAGAGTATGGGTTCTACGTTTTCGAATTGTATAGAACATGATGCTACGGTGCACCCAATCTTCGTGTGTTTTGCAGTCGACAAATCTGATCCTTGAGAGTTCGGGAGCTCAGGTTGGAAAAATGGACTCGCTCAAAGGCCCCCGTTGTATTTTGTACTCACGCATTGCGGTGTAAACAAAACTCGTGTGTGTCTGCTCAGCGCGTGCAGAAATCGTTCAGATGATGGCGAGATAACTTCGAAGCTTTTGCATATCGCTTGACATGCTGTTCACATGCGGCCTGACCCGAGCTTCCCTTATCAGTCTGTTGGATATTGCCACACAACGGCCGATCGCTGTGGTGTCTCGTGTGTGTTTGTCCACGTTGTTGACACATCAAATCCCTGAATTCAAGAGATGGCACCAAGTTGCTCTTCCTGCCTGATTCGGAAGATATTTTGGGTTGTCAGTGGGCACCAAGCAACATATTTTTTCGGCGAGACGGTACAGCTCCTCCGCAGCCTATACACGTGCAATGTGGACATAGAGGCGTGAGTCATGTAGATGCACACACACCCATCTCGGCCGTTGACCGCGCGATTTTGCATGTTTCCGCCCAACCACAATGTTGTGCGTTCCAGGTACCCTTCCGGTGGCATTAGCCTCTCTTCTGGACAGTTTTGACAGGCTTCACAGTGTTGGAGGGTTGAACCTTTCCCAAAACCCGTGGGAACACCCTCCCGAGGCGATCGTAACGGGTGGTATGCTGGCGGTGAGAGGGTACTTCGAAGCCATCTTTAGGGGCGGAACTACCGTTGTGACCCGACCGCTCAAGGTCGTCATCGTTGGAACGGAGACTGTTGGCAAGACAAGGTGCGAAGCTACCACTTTGTGGTTCTCCAATTTTCTCGTACGCACAAAATCGATTGTGCGAAATTATAAATTTTAGTGCTTGCATATCGCCTTCCGATAAGTGAACCCGTCGTAAAAGGACCATATTGTGCAGCTTATTTGTTGAAATGTGGAGCTAGTTCGTTGTTGTGCAAATATTGCGTGTAAGCGCTGTTAAACCATGTCCTTCAGGGAAACGTGCTCCAACTAATGCACCCTGCCATCCCCGCAGCATGGCCAGACCGGTATTTTGTCGGTGCTTCTGAGCAATATAGTTGGTGTGGCAAAAAAAAACTTCTAACTTTACTTTTGGGAACGTTTTTTTTCGCGGAGGTTTGATCAGGACCGGGCGCATTTTGGTTGAAAATCTAGCTGTCATGAGTACGAGTCGACGCGACCGCGTAGCGGGTCAGCATCGTGCGTTGCCCTGACATGTTGTACTGAACACCGGGGCTGCTTGGGCGCTGAGGAGAAGCCTTGAGCGACATCAGATTACGTGCGGGCGTTCATGATCGCTTGAATGGTTGGAGACAACTTTACTCATACTATGCACTGCATGCACTGCCGCAGTTTGCGGTGCAGCATCAAGGCCGGGAAGCCGTGCATGACAAGAGGGGGTGGTGTGGACAGCACTGTCCACGTGGATGTCGAAGACCACAACCTCGATGTCCAAGACCACAAAGCCGGTGGTCACCCAATTAGGATTTTCGATTGTGCCGGCCAGGTGAGACACATCATGTTCCTTATACGCGTTGAGTTGACCCAATCAGTACGCCTACGTGCTGGGTCGGTGTGTTTTTTCATTTGCCGTGCTGTGGTTGTCCTCAAAGCTGGAGGTCGAGATAGCTTCATGCGGTCTGGTAGTTTCTAACCGTAGTTCGCAGGCTGTCGTAAGGCGTCTCATGCGATTACAGCATGGGCTGTAGTTTTCGAAACCAGTCAACGCGGGCTCACTGCCNATGCTTACGTGCTGGGTCGGTGTGTTTTTTCGTTTGCCGTGCTGTGGTTGTCCTCAAAGCTGGAGGTCGAGATAGCTTCATGCGGTCTGGTAGTTTCTAACCGTAGTTCGCAGGCTGTCGTAAGGCGTCTCATGCGATTACAGCATGGGCTGTAGTTTTCGAAACCAGTCAACGCGGGCTCACTGCCACTGATGCTCTTCAGCGTACATCGCGATATGTTCCGTTTAACTTACTCAAATAAAAACTATCCGCGGTCGACGTTGTCTGTTCGAAGTTCGGTGTGATACCTACGTGATACCCTGCGACGAAAATGATTGCGTCTGTGACTAATGTTTTGAACCCCGGCAGTATTTGACCTGGTCGGTATCCTATGAATCTGCGCCCGTAGCTCAGATCACTTCATTAGACCCAATGTTTCCAGTCATTTGAACCTCTCCAACGTGTCCATCCTACATTTCAACCGCTGGACAGGCTGCCTACTACGGACTGCTCCAGCTGTTTCTCACCCCTCGTGCTGTATACCTATTGGTTTGGGATGCGGAGAAAGCCAGCCAGATGGACGAGTTGAACCTTGAAGATCTTGCCATTGCTCCCTGGCTGAGGCAAATGACTTTCCGAGTGCCGGACGCAAACGTGGTACTTGTGGGGAACAAGTGGGATCNTCCTCGGCACGAGGACAAGAGCATGCGCGTCTTGAAGGCCAATGTAAGCGCCCCATTCCGCTGCATCAAAGGGTTTTGATTCGTTCGATGGTCCTATAAGTAGTCCCATTCTTAAAACACATCACACACTTCAACGTGTCATGGAATGGAATGTTTTGGTTTGTTCACATTATGTAGCGCCATACACTCCACGCACTTAATTTCCACACGCCCGCGCGCGATCTCTTTTTTGGCAGCCACGGCCTGGATCCCGTCTGGTCGAGGAGGGCAATTTTTGTCCCGTCTGTCGGGACCGCACGGCGGGCACCGACCTTCTGGGCGTTGCTCTACAGGTGGTGGAGTACTCAGACACGGAGTTCTCCGATGCTCAGCTCCGTAAGCAGTTTGCCGATAATGCCAAGAGGATGGCTCGTCAGGGTCGTGCGCTCTGGCCGGCACCGGTGATGGAGGTGGGTTCTTCTACCACGATTGCTTCCATGTACAAGCCATGTGCAGGACAGAAATGCCATATTCCCATGAACACAGCCTTTGTCTACACCATCATATGGCTCGACCTACATGCTTGAAAATGGAAGACTGATCACGAAACCAAACTGTTTTATGCACAGGTTCCGGCACCCAACCACGCCAGTCCAGGCCACCAGGTACGTTCAACATTATCGCACCGCATACGGTACAAGCAGTTGTCAAGATGCGATCTGCTTGTGACAGAAATGCGCGACAAAATGACCGATATGGTCTAAATTTCCATGTTTCTCCATCCAAGCTGCGTTGGTGTCTAGCGTACTATCCCATGGTTTCCCTTATCAATCGGCTTCGCCTGCAAGCTGTACAAGCCATGTGCAGCCCAAAAAACCGTATTCCCATGAACACCGGCCTTTGTCTACACCATCATATGGCTCGCTCGACATGTTTGAAAATGGAAGACTGATCACGAAACCATACTGTTTTTTGCACAGGTTCCGGCACCCAACCACGCCAGTCCAGGCCACCAGGTACGTTCAATGTTGTCACACCGCATACGGTACAAGCAGTTGTCAAGTTGCGATCTGCTTCTGGCAGAAATGCGCGACAAAACGACCGATATGGTCTAAATTTCCATATTTCTCCGACCAAGCTGCGTTGGTATACAGCGTACTATCCTATGCTTTCAATATTCAATCGGCTTCGCCCGCAAGATGTACAAGCCATGTGCAGCCCAAAATGCCGTGTTCCCATGAACACCGGCCTTTGTCCAAACCATCATATGGCTCGACCTGCATGCTTGAAAATGTAGACCTGATCACGATACCATACTGATTTTTGCACAGATTTCTACTGTTCCGGCACCCAACCGCGTCAGTCCAGGCCGCAAGGTACGTTCAACGTTGTCACACCGCATACGGTACAAGCACTTTTCAAGTTGCGATCTGCTTCTGGCAGAAATGCGCCACAAAATGACCGATATGGTCTAAAGTATCGATATTTTTCCATCTAAGATGCGTTGTTGTAATAGCGTACATCCCATGGTTTCCATATTATATCAGCTTCGCCCGCAAGTTTTCTCGTTGAACCCCGACACGGTGTGTTGTCTCTCGGTCTACTCTCCCAACCTAAATAAATGTTTTGTTCTTCGTAGCTCGAGTCGGTTGACGTTCCTGTCGAAAACACGTTGAAAATATGGCGACAATCAACGTCCGTTATGTCACAAACTGGCATTTTTTTACCAACACGACTCGCAGACGCCACTGTACCGGGACCTGAAGGCGTGTATAGCCGCAGCCACTTTGGCCTGCTTCGCTATCTTTGGGGTGTTCGCTGGGAAGGACGATGACGACTCTCGTCTTTGGGGGGTGTTTCTGGGCCTTGGCATCTTGCTCTCGGGGGCGGAGTTTGTTTTTTTTACCAAACATTACGAGATCTTGTGCTTCAAACGAAAAGAGGGCGCGGGCGCTGGAAACGAACACGGGGGTGAGGAGACCGCTTGAAATGAACAAGGGAGTGAGGCTAGTGCGTAGGCCCCGTGCTTCCTTGAACAGGTAGTAAGCGAGGTGTCGGCAAATCAGGGCTTCGATTAGCCCTTTGCTCCTGAGGTTACAGGAATAGCTCTTTCGCCGTTGTGGAAGGGTTGGAGTTTTGCAGCGTTTGGTATGGCTACTCAAGATCATGTTGTCAGATATCAAGCGGTAGAGAGAAAGGGATTTCAGCACTCGCAACGTAGGAAGTATGCATACTCCGTCGCATAGTAGTCCCCGAATCCAACCAACCGGTAATAGGTGGGCACGTCATTTTGGCAGGAAAAGGAGAGAGTTTGCGCCGTGCACCACCAGAATACTTTGTGAAGATAAGAGGGAGAAGGGGGGGGTGCGTTGCCTAGATTTCTTCTTAACACGCACAGCAGAGGGTTGTCGCATGTTTGATCCGTTGAGCGTACCGTATTTCGGTAGTTTCGTTTGTGTCAAGGAAGCAGCTGTCCAATCCGAAACTGGGTGGCGCAATCACGGACGAATTTGTAGCAGGGCTGGAGATGATGAATTTGAGAGAGGGTAAGGTTGAGTGCATAGGAAACGCACCTTCAATTTGGCAAGGGATTTGGCGAGCTGGGACGCCAAGGTAGAGAAGAGGAATGAGTCTGCGTCGTGCGTGCTGCGCCCGACAGGGCCGTCTCTCGACACGCAACCATGTCTCGTTTCTGTGTGGTACGTAGATGGAGTTCACCCGACCGTAGGTTCGATGACATATGGCTTTAGATGTCATCTCAAAGAAAGGAAGGGTAGCTGTCATGGCCAGGGAGGTAAACACAGTGCATCTGGTATCTTGTATCAGTACGCACGTCTGCTGGAATTCGAACTTGATCTTTGAGTCACCCAACCACGTCTGTTTGCACGCCTGAAGAGTAATTTACGATTCAAGTGCAGTTTAAACGACGCCCCCTTAGATCTATATGGGGCGGGGGGGGCAATCGTCACAGATGGCGCCACCACTTACGAACCTATTTTGCGCCGTCGTGGCTTATTGGCCGCCCAAACCCCAGCACGTGTGCTAGTTTGCCAAGTGCTTATTTCGGCCAGAGATATGTTAGGTTTGGTTTCTGTTGCGGCTAAAAAAATCGGCTACAAGAAACAAGTACTCTAATCGTGAACGAAGCCCACGAAAGCGACGCCCACGAGCTCGCGGCGGTGCCTCCACACGTGCCAGTCATCGGTGTGCATCGAAGGTTTGAACATTTATTGCCCGCGACAGCACGAGCAACAGGTAGACGAGGAGCCCCACGGCAATCCTGCTGTCTGTCTTTTGGCGCAGCGGGACTCAAAAACCAAGGTCTCGGTCTACGTGTTGGGTGCGGGGGGACGATAAGGAACAGGAGGTACTGCCGACCCCATTTTCGCAGGACTAGCCAACGCGTGGAGCAGGAAGGATCTACCCGGTATTTGCTCTGGGTAGCTGGGTAGTCGGCTGTCGCTGCTCTGTGGTTGGTGTTTGTTTTGTCCATGCTCAAGCAGACCGTGTTTTTGTTCTCCTACTCTGCCGACACACCAAGTATAGTCACAGATAATCTCAAACGGAATTACGTATGTCCTGCAGCACTTACGAACTTGGACGGGTTCGTGTTTCGAGAGCACGCATCACTTCTATGCAATACCCTCTTGGTACGTGGTACACCACACGCAAGGTACAGGCGCCGCAGGGGGAATACACTCGTGTCGGAGTTATTTCGGTTGTAAGATCTTGTCCGCGTATTCACCGCCGACACGTTGTCAGCCCTTAAAGTACCACAAACAAAATGCAGTCACCCGTGTATATGCACCCCCTGAAACAAAACGAAACAGGTCCTAATTAAATTGTCAAGCTGAATACTAAGAATAACAATGTGTTTCGCGCCCGTGTACATAAACCCCATTCAACCCCCCCACAGGCACAGCCCCTAGGCCCCAAAAAAAAATAGGTAGCCGCCCGTGCTTCCCCCGCTGCAGCATACGCGGCCGGCGTTCAGGCGCAGTTGCCACCGAGGTCTCGTGTCACTGTCGCCCTTGTTCTCGAGGGGAGCGGGGACGCCGAACACCCCTCTTTCTCCGCACGAACGGGTGAAGAAAGCCCGGCCTGGCAACATATCTGGGGCGGGAAATATTGGGGGCGGTGGGGTATAACCATTGATATTTGTGCAATTGCATATTGTAAAAACACAAAACGTCAAAAGTCCAGTGGTATACTGCGTTTCCGACTGCTTATAAACTAAACCTGTACTTGTCAAAAAAAAAACTTCATAAGCTCTCAGATAGAGCACGCTTCTGACCGCGGGCCTCCGCGGGAGCCTCTCCTCCATGCTGCCCGCCGCCCGCCCCCTCCTCGACTTCGGCTTGACCAGCCCCACCCTCGCCCCCTCCGACTTCGGCTGGGGCGCCACCGGTGGTCTGCTCCTCGAGTTCCACAGAGCCTCCTCCGGTCCCGGCCCCACCTTCAATGATATATCGTACAGAAACACACCCCTCAAAAGTTCGGTGGTAGACTGCGTTTCCGACCGCTCATTGGGGAGCGGGGAGCGAGGCCAGCTGCCTGTAGAGGCTACGAAATAAACAAAAACACACCTTCAAAAGCCCTCAGGTTGAGCGCGCTTCTGACCGCGGGCCTCCGTGGGAGCTTCTCCTCCATGCAGCCCTCCGTCCGCCCCCTCCTGGTCCGTTGGCTCGGCTTGGGCTTGACCGACCTCATTGTCGCCCCCTCCAACTTCGGCTGGGGCGCCACCGGTGGCCTCTTACGGCCACAGCCCCACCTGCAATAATATATCGTACAAAAGTCACACCGTCACAAATCCGGTGGTAGACTGCGTTTCCGACTGCTTATCCGGGAGCCAGGAGCGAGCCCAGACTACTCCAGTACACATCAAACACATCTTCAAAAGTTCTCAGGGAGAGCACGCTTCTGACCGCGGGCATCCGCGGGAGCCTCTCCTCCATGCTGCCCACCGCCCACTCCCTCCTGGTCCGCTGGCTCGGCGTAGGCATGACCGACCCCGCCCTCGCCATCTCCGACTTTGGCTGGGGCGCCACCGGTGGCCCCCTCCTCAAGTTTGACAAAGCCTCTTCCGGTCTCAGCCCCACCTGCAATGAGATATCGAAAAAAACACACCGTCAAAAGTCCGCTGGTAGACTGCGTTTCCGACGGCTTATCCGGGAGCGGGGGGCGAGGCCAGTTGCCGGCAGAAGCTACAAAAAAACAAAAACGCACCTTCAAAAGCCCTCAGGTAGAGCACGCTTCTGACCGCGGGCCTCCGCGGGAGCCTCTCCTCCATGCTGCCCGCCGCCAGCCCCCTCCTCGGCCTGGGCTTGACCGACCCCACCCTCGCCCCCTCCTCAATTTCCACAGCCTCCTCCGGCCCCGGCCCCACCTTCCGATTTAAGTTTGTGCAATGAGATATCACAAAAACAACACACGTTCAAAAGTCTGGTGGTAGACTGCGTTTCCGACGGCTTATCCGGGGGAGGGGAGCGAGGTCAGCTGGCTGTAGAAGCTACATATTAGACAAAAACTCACCTTCAAAAGCCCTCAGGTAGAGCACGCTTCTGACCGCGGGCCTCCGCGGGAGCCTCTCCTCCATGCTGCCGCGCGCCCGCCCTCTCCTCGGCCTGGGCTTGACCGACTCCACCCTCGCCCCCTCCGACTTCGGCTGGGGCGCCACCGGTGGCCTCCTCCGGTCCCGCCCCCACCTGCAATGATATATCGTAAGAAAACACACCTTCAAAAGTCCGCTGGTAGACTGCGTTTCCGACGGCGTATCCGGGAGCGGGGATCGAAGCCAGACTACTTCAGTACACACCAAACACACCTTCAAAAGCCCTCTGGTAGACCATGCTTCTGACCGCGGGCCTCCGCGGGAGCCTCTCCTCCATGCTGCCGCGCGCCCGCCCCCTCCTCGGCCACTTGACCGACCCCACCCTCGCCCCCTCCGACTTCGGCTGGGGCGCCACCGGTGGCCTCCTCAATTTCCACAGAGCCTCCTCCGGTCCCGGCCCCACCTGCGATGAGATATCACAAAAACACACACCGTCACAAGTCCGGTGGTAGACTGCGTTTCCGACCGCTTATCCGGGAGCGGGGAGCGAGGCCAGCTGCCTGTAAAAGCTACAAATAAACAATAACACACCTTCAAAAGGCCTCCGGTAGACCACGCTTCTGGCCACGGGCCTACGCGGGAGCCTCTCCTCCGTGCAGCCCTCCGCCCTCCCCCTCCTGGTCCGCTTGCTCGGTTTGGGCTTGACCGGTCCCACCCTCGCCCCCTCCGACTTCGGCTGGGGCGCCACCGGTGGCCTCATCCTCCTGCTCAATTTCCACAGAGCCTCCTCCGGTCCCGGCTCCACCTGCAATGATATATCGTAAGAAAACACACCGTCAAAAGTCCGGTGGTAGACTGCGTTTCCGACGGCTTATCCGGTAGCGGGGAGCGAGGCCAGCTGCCTGTAGAAGCTACAAAATAAAACTGTATTTATCAAAACAAAACGCACCTTCAAAAGCCCTTAGGTATGACCACGCTTCTGACCGCGGGCATCCGCGGGAGCCTCTCCTCCATGCTGCCCGCCGCCCGCCCCCTCCTCGGCCTGGGCTTGACCGACCCCACCCTCGCCACCTCCTCAATTTCCGCAGAGCCTCCTCCAGTCCCGGCCCCGCCTGCAATGAGATGTCGTAACAACACACACCGTCAAAAGTCCGGTGGAAGACTGCGTTTCCGACCGCTTATCCGGGAGCGGGGAGCGAGGCCAGCTGCCTAAGAAGCTACAAATTAAACAAAACACGCCTTCAAAAGTCCTCCGGTAGACCACGCTTCTGACCACGGGCCTCCGGGGGAGCTTCCCCTCCATGCTGCCTACCGCCCGCCCCCTCCTCGGCCTGGGCTTGACCGACCCCCCCCTCGCCCCCTCCGACTTCGGCTGGGGCGCCACCGGTCAATTTGTACAGGGCCTCCTCCGGTCCCGGTTCCACCTGCCATGATATATCGTAAAAAACACACCTTCAAAAGTCCGCTGGTAGACTGCGTTTCCGACCGCTTATCCGGGAGCGGGGAGTGAGGCCAGACTACTTCAGTACACACCAAACACACCTCCAAAAGACCTCCGGTAGACCACGCTTCTGGCCGCGGGCCTCCGCGAGAGCGTGTCCTCCGTGCAGCCCTCCGCCCTCCCCCTCCTGGTCCGCTGGCTCGGCTTGGGCATGACCGGCTCCGCCCGTGCTCTCCGGCGGCGGCCTCCTCTGCTTGGGCTTGGACGACCCCACCCTCGCCCTCTCCAGCTGCGCCCGAATATCCACCGGCGGCGGCCGAGGCTCCACCGGCGGGCCCATCCTCTCTTTTTCCACAGAACCTCCCCCGCCTTCGGTCGCAGCTTGAACAGGGAGGACGAAAGTTTTGGGGAGTGTGTCAACGAGCTGTGGGAAACAATGGAAGAAACTACATGTCTAAAAAAGAATATTCATCATCACCCACGCACCTGTGTCTGCTGCTTCATTTTCTGCAGCATCGTCTGCAGAAAACGCTCTTGCTCCGACTGCTGCTAATGCTGCCGCTGTTTCTCCAGACGATGCTGCTGGTGTTGCTGCTGCACCTCTTTTTTTGTAGATAGAGAAGCTCCTGGTCTCGTCGCTTTAGACCGGGCTGGTGCTGTAGCTGGTACCGCTCTTCCCTCTGCTGGCACTGCTGCTGGCGCTGCTGCAGAAAAAGCTGGTGCAGCTCCGCAAAAACCATGTCGGCGGGGGTGGTGGGGGCGGCGGGGGCTGCGGCTGCGTCGGCGGCGGTGGTGTCCTCCTTCTCCTCTTGCTCCACGTGGGGTTCGTCGCCCGCGTCAACCTAAACAGAAGGGAGGGAGAAGGCATGTGTTCAAAAGCACTTTCAGTGGGAGAAACGGCTCTTGCTTCTTCTCTTGAGCCCCGTTGATCGATCAGAGGAGAGACCGTGAGTAAGCAAAAAAGCAGCAGCGGCAGCAGCAGCGGCGGCGGCGGCGGCGGTGGCGGAGCGGCGGCAGCAAACTACTGACGTCGATCCTTCTCATTTTATTTTCTTCGCGTGTTTCGACTAGAGGCTACGCGTTCGATGTGTTGCCACAGATGACGCTTGCTGCAAAACGCGAAAATTACGCGTTCGATGCATTGCCACAGATAACGCTTGCTGCAAAACGCGAAACTTGGCTGGATCCGCGCATGAACCTTATACTAGCAAAGCCGGTGACATGCCACATGAAAGGAAAACAGGCAACCGCTGCTGTTGTTGTCAGATGCGGACCCAAAAACAAAAAAGATTGTTCTCACCTCTTCTTGCTGCTGCATACATTCGGCACTACTGTCGGCAGAAAGGGAGCTTTGGCCACCGCTTCCGGCTGTCTCAGTGTGCCGCTCTTGTTTGCGTCGCACACTACTCTTTCTTGTCCTTGCCACGGTGTAACGTGAACTTCGGAAAAATGAGCGGGGCTCCGTACAATCATATTTGCGTACCTCCAAAACAATCTACGATACCCCGATCTTCACCGCCGGTGCCCACACACCCACTCTTCAATCCTCTGCCCACCCGCATCACGCAACAGCACAAGATCCTCCCACAACTACCCAGCTGAGCCGGATTGTTCGCCGGGGGGCACCTTACGCACAGGTGGGGAGAGTAGCGTTGGATCTTCTGTCTCTCTCTCGCTTCTCCCCTTCACACGCCTCGTGTTTCGACCTAAATCTCGCACGCCTTCTCCTGTAGTCTTCATAGCTTCGGGAGTAGGGCTACGTGTGTACAGCCTGAAGATCCATGGCCTGGTCTCGTTTGGGTATGATGTGCTGGTTGAATAGAACACACGTCGCGGACAGAAAACAAAGCCGGCTCACATCTACTGCTGGCTGTACACCTACCTCCCTCGTTGGTGTGTTCACTCGAAGTGTTGTAGCAATGTTCGCTGGGGGCCACCTTGCGCACAGGTGGGGAGAGTAGCATTCGATGTTCTCTCTCTCTCTGTCCCTGTCTCTCTCTCTCTCTCTCCTCCCACACGCCTCGTGCTTCGACCTAAATCGCGCACGCCTTCTCCTAAGTCTACATAGTCGGGAGTAGGGCTACAGTGTGGACAGCCTGGCGATCCACAGCCTGGCCCCGTTTGGGTGTGATGCGCTGGTCGAATAGAACACACGTTGCGGACAGAAAACAAAGCCTTAACGGCTCACATCTACTGCGCCCTCTTTGGTGTGTTTGCTCGAAGTGCTGCAGCAGTTTATGGTTTCGCGTGTTCAACGAAGCTACTGTATCCTTCCCACACACGAGGTTATAAGCTTTGAAAACGGGGTATTTAATGGGCGAACACGGACGCGGGTAAAATATTCTTTCTTCAATATCCTGGTATCCATACACGGAGTATTTTTTTATCCGCTC